CGTTGTACTGTTCTCTATATTAATCCTTGTCTTAATTCAGTTTCCCCACATGATGTATGCATTGGACGTTCGTTTGCAAATCTTTGCATGCACAGCCCGAATGGTGAGTAGCATGTTATCTCCCGGAGTCCCGGCAGTGCTTGTCGCAATAGCTTCTGGAAAGGAATCTATGTTAACGGCCACTAGGCCCATTAGTGACTATACAAAATATATCCTCTTCCTGGCTTTTTGGGAATGTGTCAGTTTGCAACAGAAATGGAGAAACGCGAATTTTGTTGAAAATCATGTGATATCACGAACATTTATAAATCACTTGTATGAAATACGCCAGTTACAGAAGCCTCCATCAGCTTTTCAATAAAACAAAAATAAATTGTGACATAATATGCGTTCTCCAAAAATGAAAAAAAAAAGAAGGAAATATATGGAAATAAAATGAGTAAAAAAAATAAAAATAAAGATACAATGAATATGTGAATTTTTAAAAGGGTAAACGGAAACAACATAACAACTAGCGTCCGAAAATCTTACTCCTTGTCTCCGATCTCATCACGAATTTGTTCATCTATGTTTACATTATCCAGGATTGTCTGATGTTGCAGATTGCTACTTTTGCGCTTCGCGCTTAACATTTAGCTCGTTACTTTTTAACGCTGCATCTTTGCATTTGGCACACTGCATTTCTATGATGCTGTTGATTGAACAAATTGAATAAATTCATCAATTCCTGATGAAGCCGTATGAGCGAGAATTCAATTTTTTCTTGTCTCATATACGGTTGTTTCATTTACCTCGTATATGTATGTATTATGAAAATGAGATAACAAAATGTGTATATTGACGGTCATCTTGCGAGTAATAACCATTAACTACTCTCATCGGGCTCTCATCATAAATTTTTCTCTTATTTTTTTTTTTGAGGGTGAATTATTGGGGGGATGATTGTACAGGCCATCCCCCCACCTGAAATATTGGGGGGGGGGGGGATATATCCCCCCATCCCCCCGGGATCGACACCCATGAGACCGGTAGTAGTAAAATTGCGGTTCAAGGGTTTTGGGTGCAAAATATCCATTCAACATTGTTTAAATATTGCCTTCAGAGGTTTAGGTGGCAATATTTCAACCTAAATTCGCAAAAAAGCAAAATTATATGCCCTAATGTTCAATGTTGAAGTGCATTCGCGATCGCTATCGGCCAGGCCGGATCGAAATGATAATTTACCAAATATATCAATTAGTAGGCGGTTTCCCGAAAAATTTGTATCATCACGTATTAGTCAAACCACATTCTTCCACATGATTGGTAATAAGAGCTTCCATTTCATTTTTTGAGAAGGGGGCTTTTCCAAAACTGGTCTATACCTTTAAATGAAATCTGTTGTTAAATGTGCATGAAACAATTATCGAAAAGTGATTTGGGGTAAACCGATCTGTGGCTTTGACGTAGTGTACAGCAGAGAAGAAAATGAAATGGAAGTATATGAGTGAAGATAGAAGACATTCGACAAAAGAAACGGAGAGAGTATTTACATAATTATGAGTGTGTCCGTTTCACTTTAAAAAATTGCAAATTTTTTCCACTCGAAAGGGGCCTGGCCTGGTCAATAATATTGGCCCCCTTCAAATTTTGACCATCTAGATTACAGCGTTTTCAACCGGGGTTCCACGAGACATCCGTGCCACCCAATATAGCCGACACATTTTTTTTTTTTTTTGGTCTCGAAATTGCATAATTTGACATTTTTTGTCGTTGGGGGGGGGGGGTAAGGTCACCTTATTTAGGTTAGCCGTGGGTATAATTTTTTTTTTTTTTTTTTTTTTTTTTTTTTTAAATAATAAAAAAAAACAAAAAACAAAAAACAAACCAAAGGGGGGGTTTTAGGTTTTTTTAGGGGGGGTTTACATACATAAAAATACCAAAGGGGGGGGGGGGGGTTTGAACCCCCAAAACCCCCCCCCCCCCCCCCTGCGTACGCCCCTGGGAATAATATACAATGATATTTCATGAAATTTACCTATTGTATCCGAATGATAAATACTTATTCAAACCCCCCATTCCCAACAAAGAATTTATAACATGACGTCAAGATTCAAGGCGTTTATCGAACCTTACACTTTTAAGTAAGGCTTTAGTCAAGAAGGTCGGTATGATATTTATTTTGAAAGAGAGGTGAAAAATTCGTATGAAAAAAATTGTAAACGAATTTCTTTCTTATTGTGATGAAAAATGTGCCCCTCACAATAATTAAATCAAATAAAAAGATACACATGCACAATCATGGATTTTTCACGATATGTTTAATTCAATATCTATTCAAAATCGCTCATTATGCCTATATGGAATATCACTTCGATCATCTACAATTATTGAAGATCAAAATAAGGACTGTAATAAAATATTCGTTTGTCACGCAAATTATACTATGCTAATACAATTGAAAATAATAAAGATAATAATCAATCATTATGGCAAATAATATTGTCATCTTAGGAAAGAAAAAGGATGCTTTAAACCATATTAAATCTAAAGACATTTAAGACAAAAACATGGTGTCGTGTTCTAAAAGCCAGAAGGGCTTCGAGACCCTATAAAGAAAAGTCTATGAGCAGGTACGGTCCTTCGTCTCTCAGTACACAACATAACAAGACAGTTATATGACTTATAATACCAGGGAGGTAGGCAGGGGCGTCACTAGACCTTTTTCAGTGTGTGTGGGGGGGGGGGGGGTGTAGAGGCCAACAATTACCGACAAAACCAGCCACCAATTACCGACAAAATTAAATGTCCTAATATCTACACATTTAACCCTATAAACCCGGGGCCGAAGGCTAAATTTCTTTTCCTATGGACTATCTATAGTACTTGCGTATGCGCAAATTATCATTTTCCTCGACGACATGAATATACGAATTATTTCGTCAACTAAGTCCAATCGTAGCTATATATTTTAATACAGGCGCAGAGCTATTTTAGGGAGGGGCGGTAGTGAGCAAGCGAATCACCGAAATATCGCGCGAAACGCGCTCATTGGGGGGGGGGGGGGGGTGGGTGATAGACCTCCTGTTCGAAGTGCGGAAGCTTAGACGTTTCCTTAAATTATTAGGAAAAGAAGACGATTTATTGTACCGTTCTCAACTGTTAATCCTTGTCTGAATGAAGTTCCCCCCTCCCGCGCAAAGCGCGAAAGCTTTGACGTTAAGTTATTATAAAAAGAAGACGATTTGCTGTACCGTTCTTGACTGTTAATCCTTGTCTAAATAAAGTATTCCTCCCCTCCCGGAAGTTTTGACGTTTCATTAAATTATTAGAGAAAGAAGACGATTCGTTGTACCGTTTTCGACTCTTAAAAAGCCCTAATTTTCCGAATTCAGTTTCCTCCTTAAGCGCGAAGCGCGGAAGTTTTGACGTTTCATTAAATTAATTAGAGAAAGAAGACGATTCGTTGTACCGTTTTCGACTCTTAATAAGCCCTAATTTTCTGAATTCAGTTTCCTCTTTTAGCGCGAAGCGCGGAAGTTTTGACGTTTCATTAAATTATTAGAGAAAGAAGACGATTCGTTGTACCGTTTGCGACTCTTAACCCTAATTTGTCTGAATTCAGTTTCCCCCCCTTTGACGTTTTCTTAAAGTATTATTTATTTTTCCTCTTCTTTCTTTTCCTTTCTTTCCTCTCCTCCCTTTTTTTTTCTTTTTTCTTCTCTTTTCTTTCCTTTCTTTCCTTTTTTCCTTTCTATCTTTTCTTTTCCTTTTCTTTTCTTTCCCTTATCTTTTCTTTCCTTTTCCCTCTCTTTTTTCCCCATCCCCTTTTCTATTTTTCCCGACGGCAGCGCAATTTTACCGACAATATCCTGACAGGTGGGGGGGGGGGGGTGTCGCACCCCACCCCGTCCTTTGGAGACGCCCCTGGATGCACAGGATGCTGGTCGTTCCTGACATTATGCTAGACATGATGCTGACTTCAGAAGAACAAAACAGACTTACAAAGTGAGCACTAATTTTTTTTGGCCCTCTAAAATTTGAAAAATCGCACCCCCCCCTTGAGCGCCAGGGGGGGGGGGGCATCTCCAAAAAATTTAATGATGCTGTAGAGTAATCCTAATTTTGTAATCCCAACAAATATTCATGAGATTTTAGAAAATCCAGTAAATCTAGGGATTATGATAACTTAAAGTTTATCTTTATTAAAACAATTAATTCACTCACAACTTCCCCATTGTGACATATCTTTAATTAATTTATCTCCCAAGGTAAAGTTCCCCGACCCACCATCAAAATAATTACTATATATGAAAAAGATGCGGGTCCATCTCAAATTGCAAACTATCGGCCAATTTCTGTATTACCAAAACAAACACTCGCAAATTATTATTCTATAAAATCTGAGAATGTATATTATTATTCAGATCTATTAGGAATAAATCATTCCATAAATTTGGGTAAAAATAGTTATTCCACCTTCATGACCAACAGTATTTTATTGTTTAATAGTGATAAGATGACAATTAGGTTGATGTACTATGTCTCATTTGCAGGTCGAATAAATAGCCCATACTAATGTAGTATTCTATGAACTAGAGCCAATAAAAAATTGCTGATATTCACATTTTTCAAACTGCAATCTTTATGTAATTTTTTTCGATAAATACATTAGCATTTCGAAATATTTGTGGATAGTATAGTAATATACAATGTTAATCATATATTATACGCGCCACTCATCCGACCTCCATGGTCCGTATATGATTTGCCAACAAGTATTAAACACTCTGCATCTCATTATTCATTCAAAGCCTCGATGAAAATATCTAATATCTGAAATATTGATATGCATTATAGTTTGCTTTTATAAATACCTAGAGTACCTGTATAAATGGTAGGCCTATATACCTACACAACTTCACATGTACGCTTCGGCGAGGCTCCTACAAACTCCCAACAATATATTATCGCAGATGGCAGCAGATAAAAAAATGCCAATTCGATGATGTCACGCATGCGCGCGTCCGGCCTGCGCTTAGCAACGAGACTCATAAGCACCCAGCAGAAAACGAACTGAAAGCGGATTGTTGAAAACTCGGCCCAAGCACGGAAAAGTGAGCATAAAAAAGGTTGCCAGATACATATATTGGTAAGAATATAATATATCCTTGTTTAGACTATGTTTTTATCAGATAAATTTAATATAGATTTGAGAATAATGTATCATAAAGTCATGATCAATCGCTGTCGCATAGATCTATTCTTTCTACTTCTAGCTTCGCCTTCGAGCTGTGTGAGGGTTTCTAAGGCCGAGGCCTATGGGGCTATACCCGGCCCAAAACTATAGCTCTAGACCTAGGGAGTAGGGTGTCTGATCGCGGCATGGCGCACTCGGTTTTGTGTACTGAAATCCTTCCTTGCACACATCCTTATGTAGGCCATGTGCATTGCGCAATCATGCATAACTGGTCAATGTTTTTATTACCAAATTGAGATTCAAATGAATAGTCTAGGGGTACGTTTATGCAGGGATAGATCAAGACCTAGGTCTAGGTCTATGTGAGTTTAAATGGATGTACCGTCTCGAAAGAATTTCCCGAGGGAAAGATATTGAAGATTAACTTGGCTTAACAACAAGTAATGTAACCCTCTTCAGCCATCACATCCATCAACAGCCGCCCTTATCAGACCACAGATGCCCTCTGGCGATCCAAATGTTACAAAGTGTTACGCAACGCGGTCTGCTTCCCTAAGCTCTCCCAACACTTGGTCGTAAAAAAAAGGCTTGGAAGCCATGCGAGTCACCGAGAAAATGACGTCATATTCATTGACGATGTATAGAGTAAAGTACCCGGTTTTCGGCCACTTAAGACAAAATCCTATTTATTGGACTCTTTACTTCCTATTTATTATCATTTCTTGTTCAAATCATGAAGCAAATATTATTATTATTTAAACAAAAAAAGAATCCCCCAAAAAAATCACGAATTGCCATGACAATATTCATTTCAATTTTCACTGTTTTGGAGCCGGTTATCGGCCGAGCGTTTCAGTTTACGGCCGCATGTACAAAGTCAATAGGAAGCGCTCGCGCGCGCCGTGCGTTTCTGCGCTGATGTATAGCACAAGCGGGCGGAGCAGGTATCCCACGCCGGAGCTCCCGGGTGCTCGCCTGGCCGAATACAGGCACAGCGGTGATCGGAAGTTGGAATCTGAATTAGACAGACATATCGTGTGTGCGTCGCGGTGTGCGGCTGCATTGATTTAATACATGCGATGAGATACTTTTGAGCTTGCGACCAGCACAAAATCGGGCTCTATATCTGAAAAATACTTGAAATAAAGCTCATTTTATGGTACCCATATTTCTTACATACACGCGTAAGAAACTCGATTTTTCAGATTTGGGTAGCGGGACCGCCGATTACATCGCTAAAATGTGATATTTTAGGATATATTTTTCATTGCAAATGTGGTTCTTCAGTGACACTGGCATGGTATGGTATGTGTGGGATATGTGTTATGCTATTATGCGATGTATTTTAAAGTGATTTTACCATGTATCCAACCAATTGGCCGAAAACCGGAGCTGACCGATTACCGGGTACTTTACTCTAGACCTATAGCTATAACATATAAAATCACAGAATTGACAACGTATGGCACAATGCAGCCTTCATTGGTTTAAAATGCTTTCGCTGTGCTCGGATAACTCTACTGAAGACGTAGTCATCTGAACCAGCGAAATCGACCAAGGAAATCGTGAGTTAGAGTGAATGCAAGTTTCTCATCATCATCACGTTCTCTTCTAATTATTTTCATTTTCCGAAAGTTTCCGAAATTTTACATAGCTAGGAAGGTAGTCCATAAGTTTATCTCTTAAAATAACTAAATGAAATTGTGTTATATATTTGCGCATTTGGCTTAATGAGGGTTAGAAGTTGTCAAATCATCACCACTTTTCACCCCGAGTACGGGCCGGCGACGCGAAAGCCGCCGTACTCGCTGGGCTGTACATGCTGGATGTTGTTGGTGGAAACACACATAGCTGCATTACGTATACTACCCTGGCCGTGTATTAAAAGTTGTGCTATTGATTCTCAACATTTCAAACACCACTGTACAAAACTCAACTGATTTCATTCAAAGGCAGTACTTTAGTGACGATTGATGACAACTAAAGAGCATTAAAATACAATTTGTTCAACTTTCCGATGTTAGAAAGAATAATTTGAAATTAAAATTGTGAGTCTACTGTCAAACTTGCCGATCAACCGCATCGGAATGATTATGTGCATTTGTATGTTGTGAGTGTATTGACTATTCATGTATTCAAATGCTGCCTATTTACATTTGGAGTGGCCTACGCATTCACGATGAAACCATTTAACCGTACATTCTGGTTCGCTGCAACGAATAATATTTTCCGTTGATGGAATTTCACACGTGCATAACTTGTATTGGTCTCCAACTTCCCATACACCAGGCTCAAGAATCAAATCTTCCTCAAAAGCAGTCAGAAAGTCTAAATCGTCGCCTACCAAATACTCTTCCCTACTGTATACGCCGCCATTTTTGTCGATAGCAGCCTATGTGTATTTCCAACAATGCATTTCGCGAGCCCTATGTCACTCAGTTTCGGGAGTGAGATTTACGAGCTGTGCGGTGCGGGTAGGGGATTAAGGGGATTATGATAGGGGGAAAAAAGACTCTCGGTGCATCGGACTGCTTCAAAGGGCCCTCTTAGATGCGGCATCCATTTCTTACAAGCCCTGGTTTATGCTCAATTTTGATGGCAGAGAATGAACGATTTGAGACGCTCATCGTAATCGCAGTTCCACGGTGTATGGTGGTGTGACCACACTTCGCGAGTGACCAAAGTCCGCGTAGAGTCTACTACTAGCACTAAAAGCGCTTATATCAGGAGAACGATACGCAATGCCTGTGCGGGAACTGAGACTACGAAATAGTTTGAGCACTGTCGACAACTCCAAACTCCAAAGGTCAAAATGCGACATAAATTAAAAATGTGAATAAGCTAGCTTTTTAACGCTTTTTATCATAACAAATTGTGTTTTTTTATATGAAGATCAGTTTATTATAGGGATTGCCTCCGGAAAGTAATGATAAAATTCCAATTTCTTACGCAAAAAATGGAACCTGCGCCCATCATAGGGTCTAGAATCTAGAGTAAAGGAGGGGGTAATCAACCATCACCAGTTTTCGGCCGGTCCATTAGATGCATGGTAAAATCCCTTTAAAATACATCGCGTAATAGCATATCACATATCCCACACATACCATACCATACCAGAGTCACTGAAGAGCCACATTTGCACTGGAAAATATATCCTAACATATCACATTTAGGCGATGTAATCGGCGGTCCTGCTACCCTAATCTGAAAAATTGAGTATCTTACGTGTGTCTTTAAGAAATATGGGTACCATAAAATGAGCTTTATTTTAAGTATTTTTCAGATTGACATGTAGAGCTCGATTTTGTGTGAGTCGCATGTATTAAATCAATGCAGCCGGACACCGCAACGCACACACGATATCTCTGTCTAATTCAGATTCCAATTTCCGATCGACGCAGTACTAGTTTTCGGCATGGCCAGCTCCAGGGAACTCTGGCGTGGGATACCTGCTTCGCCCGCTAGTGCGATATAGATCAGCGCGGAAACGCACGGCGCGCGCGCGCTTCCTATCAACTTTTTACATGTGACCGAAAACTGGTTCACTATGCCGATAACTGACTCCGAAACAGTGAAAATTGAAATGAATATTGTCATGGCAATTCGTGATTTTTTTCTGGGATTCTTTTTATTGTTTAAATAATAATAATATTTGCTTCATGATTTGAACAAGAAATGATAATAAATAGGAAGTAAAGAGTCCAAAAATTAGGATTTTGTCTTAAGTGGCCAAAAAAAACCATCCTTTACTCTATCTGTGTTTGTGAATTTCAATTATGAATCTATGGGTTTCGTAAGAATACAATTTTAAAAGGGGGAAAGTGGAGAGACAAATAAAGAAAAGAGCAAGAACTTGTGTATGGCTGACATTTAAAAAAGAAAAACAGTATCCAACTGCAGTAATATGTCTAGAGGTGTCGTGGTCGAGTGGATACGTCGCCAGACTGTCGATCGCAAGGTCCGCAGTTCGAGTCCCGCCGCCCCACTAATGTCCTTTGGCAGGGCAGTGATCTACATTTGCCACACTCAACTCGGGTGATGTAAATGGATACCTGGCAGGAATTAATTCCTTGAAATGCTGGAGCGCTATATGATAAATGCGCCTCGGAACAGAATTATCTAGATAGAGGACGCTATAGAAATGCCTATTATTATTTTTTATTATTGTATGATACATGCGATGAGATACTTTTGAGCTTGCGATACTCAAAAAATCTGACCATAAATCTGAAAAATACTTGAAATACAGCTCATTTTATTTCACCTTTTCAAAGAATACCTCCACCTGTGTATCAATGGAGTGCACTGCTTGTGCATGAATGGATACCGGTAATGATTACATAACTTTCATGAGCACGTATCCAGTATTTTGTCTCCGTGTATTTCACAATTTGTTCTGCAATTACCTTTATCTGCTCATGCTCAGACTGCAACAGTGAAATGGCTTATTGTAATGTCACATCTGCCATGTTAGATATCATTTACTGTTAGAAAATATTTGGTATCTAAAAATGGTTACAAATCAATGTAGAATGTAGTAGAATGGTACTAATAGGGGCACCCCTATTGGTTTAATGTATAACAAATTTCTTGCTAACACCCCTTCTGATAAGCACATTTAAGACCCAGGCGGATGCATGTATGTATGACCTACAGGACAAGACATATCATGGCACAGTTTGAATTGTCTCTGCATGTGAGACCAAAACTTTACTCTGGATTCCTAAAAAAATGATAAAAAAAAATAAAAAATAACAGGGACCCTATGTACACAGACCTCTTTCCAAGAAGTGAGTGTGGATCCTCGACAAATCATTTTCGATTTTTGACTACCCCTTCCACATTTGCTGATTTGTTTCTTTTTAAAACATACATTGCTCCAACTTGAGTCGTTCTATATATATTGTACATGTTCTATTATTGTATTGTATGTACATGTACATGTATTTTATTCTATGTAGCTCCCTATGTTTTGTATTTGTGGAGAAATAAATTGAACTTTGAACTTTACATGTAGCTTACTTATGTTTTTCTTGTGGTGTTTTATATTCTGGAAACAGTTGATTCAGAATGGGTCAGACCCTAACAAGAGCAGCTAAATGGACGTCTGCCAGTGAGGGCGGGGAAGGCAAGCTGGAATTTACGCCAGTCAACGAGAGTCTTCTCAACAACATCATCAAGTTTGTAGAGCCTTTCTCCTCAAAGCATCCAAACGAAGCTGGACTAGTCTTTAGAAACCCTATACAATGGAAAACCAATATTGAAGCATCATCCTTCTCAGGAGACTATGAACACAGGTAACTTAAACCGATTGAATTTGCGATCTTTACTTTGAATCCCTATCATGCTATGATATTTGCTAACGCTTATCAACAATGTCCTTTTTAAATTTCCAACTTTTACTCTGTGTTTTAGTATCAAATTGAGAATTTGCCATCCATTGCAATGAATTAGTTAAAGTCAGTTTACAGTGAATGCAGAAATTCATGTTCAGTGTTTTGTATTCATTACATGTTGTGTTACTGGGTATCTGAAAGATAATGATAATAATAATAATAAGAAGAATAAGTACCACATGATGGGTTCTTGTATAGTGCTTATGTCTGTCAAACTTGACTCTCCTGGCGCTCCACAATTATTATCCTGGCTTTATGGTTGCCATTATTTTGCTATTGCATTACAAGGAATTAATTACTGCCAGGTACCCATTTACATGTACCTTACCTGGGTCAAGTGTAAAAGATGTAGATTAATGTCTTGCCAAAGGACACCTGTGCTCTGGCAGGGGTTTGAACCCTGAAATCTGTCCACGAGAAAACACCACCTCTAATGTAGAAGGTGTAAATTCTCATCTTAAGCATGTAGTAACACTCTGAAATAGGATTGATTTTGATTACTTCATGGGATTTTCTGTGCTGGCATCCTAGAAAGTAGGAGAGATATTATGATAATGATGTTGTCTATTATGTTAGTAAAACAATATTAATTGTAATAACAAATGAATACTAAGGCAATTAAGTAAGAAAGAACAATTAAGTTTTGTGTTGTGCTGGTCCCTTGCGACATAATAAAGAATTTTTAGATAAGACTTGGTATGTCAATTAACATTCCTCACACTTACATAAAACATTAATAATTTCAGAATACCACTCTTGGCTTGCATATTTTTTAGTCTGAAAGATACTGGTATATGTATATATCCATTTTTACTGTGGGTGTCTGTATGAAACATTATTCAGTGTATTTTGGTTATCTTTGTGGCAGTGATGATGGTTTGCGTTCCATTGCAACTGACAAAGATGAGCAGCCACTTCTGCAACTTCAGAAGCTCGGTGAGCTCCACTCGAAGCTTAGCGTCAGGTCCATGGAGCAGCTAGCTGCAGTTCTCAGGGTTGCCGGAGACAAGAAAATGACAGAAACAAGAGCTATCTTGGAAAGTAAGTATCAAGCTACCGGTACTAATTTTGGATGCAGAATTTAGTATACATTATAAACATGCGCATACATGGACAAAATAATTTATTTGTTTCATCCAGGATTTTTGTGTTTTTTTTTTGTTTGAGGGGGGGGGGGGAGGGTTGATTAAAATTTGACAATTCAAAGACTACAACTGTGATTTAATAGTTGAAATGATAAATTCACATGGATAGTGTTGTGCAGTTTGTATTTACTTGACTTACATACTTTTGATACATTTGATCTTATTTCTTTTCTCTTAATTCATTTTGACCTTCCCTAAATTTACTACTGCATTGTACAGAAAGTTTAATAAGATGTAGTATTTAGAGCTTTTCTTTAAAGATTTAGTTGTCTTTTTGCACCAGGCAACAGGGATCCACTAGCTAAGATCCTAGGGGAAGGCTTTGCTACTGTAGAAGGAGAGGACAACTCAGCAATCAGGCTCCTGGAAGAAACGCAGAAAGATGACTCAGAAGAGGCTCAAGAGAAGAAGTTGAAAGTCAAGCTCCTTCTACTTATCAAAGACTTTGACATGCAACTTATGAACCAGTATCTCTCAGAAGTATCAGGGTAAATTGGGTTCTATACGTTTTATATCTGGGAGTATTTGAGGTTTCTAGGCCTGAAATCACAAAGATGGTTAAAATTCAAAACAATTTCTTTAGTATGGGCGGTTGACTGGTGTATAAATGAAAAATAAGAAAAACATGGTCCAAATACAAGAATATTATGTTTCATTTAACATGTTTTCAATAACAAATGCTAGAATGCTATGACAAACTTGCCCTTAGCCAATAAAATGTAGCAATCTCAGTAGCTTATAATTGTAAGCTACTGAGATTGCTGCATATCATAACAGGCATTAATTTATACCAGTTATTGTAAATTGTTATTGATAATAACTTTCAGTGTAACAGGGCCCAATTTTTGTTTTGCCCTCTTAACAAATAAAACAAATATTGCTGTTGACCCTTTTAAGGATCAAAGCCACCTTTAATAAGGTGGCGGTTTAGACCATCATGTATTTCAGCCACCTCTGTGAATTGGTGCTAAGGTGTTCTAACAAGCATTCAACCTTGAAACATGGCTGTACACATGCAAGTAAATGCACTTCTGTAGACATTGTGCTGACTGATCAAAGACAAGCAGCCACATATCGTGGCTTCGCACATTAGAGTTGTTTTTTGGTAGACCTAAAGTAATGGTTTTGAACTATTTAGGCCTATCGACCTGATGTTTTATTCCATATCAGTGCCATTACCCCCAATATACTAAGTTTGGTCAGTGCTGTTACTGTTACCCCTTGTAATGCCACTGTACAGAGAGTATCCATAGATATATACAACTGTACTTGCATGATTCAATTAATAGAGCTATGATAACAACATGTGCTATTAGTTGAATAAAAATGTCATTTTTCTTAGTGCAAAGGTAATGTTGTTTTTTTTCTTCAGAAATATGGCTTAATAATATATTGTGTGAAAACACAAATTACATAGGCCTTTAATTGTAATGAAGTACATTTAACGATGGGCATAGGAAGGTGAACATAGGGCTAGAGTGTTCAAATAACTGATTATAAATGAATTCATACACTATGTCATGTTTTTCAAGCTTCTCTTGTGTAATTCTTGTTGTAGGGAAATTCGTCTCACTCCCCAGCAAGTGAACGATGAGGTAGAGCTACTGCAGAAGTTTTGTGGGGAGGACAGTCACTGTGCCTTAGGGTCTATCCAGTTCTCATCTGACTACCAGTTTGACAATGGTTGTCATGCCCCGCCCTGGAGACAGGTCCATGGAGACATAGGATACCTGCTCATCAAACCACACGATGGAGATCAGCTATCAGTCACTGCTAACACAGCAGGAATTTATCAAAACAAGGTATGTTTGGCCATAGGCCTCTTTATGACTAGCAACAGTATACCAAGGAGGATGTGTGATTACAATCAATATTTACTTGTAAGTGATTTGGACTTGGATAAATCGGTCTTAATCTTGTATAATCTCTCAAGATATGATGTCTGAAAGTATCCTTACTTGTACCATGCAGAAAACAAATAAATATAAACAGAATCTCTAATTTATCAAAGTAGGGTAATTTACCTTGTGAAATTTTCCAGTAGCTTCCAATTTATTCTCATAGATTCATATACGCTATAATTTTTTTTGTTTATACGTATATTTCTAGGATGGAAAATTGGCATCCTTTTTAAAACCTGATATTGACATTAGTGGAACATGTACCAAAAGGGAAAGCAATTTTCTTTATTTTATGTTTGCTGTTTCAAAGCACCCCAAGATAAATGTTGCAATGTTGATCGTTTATTTGAAAATTTCCTTCCGCTTCTTGAAAACCAATGGCTGGATTCTAACCAAAGTTTTAAGGAATCAACTGGAGGAAAGGGATATCTAAAAGTTCTTTAAATTGGGTATATTGGGGGGGAGGGGGGGGGGGGGCTTGGTAGTAATTAGACTTAAAAATGCATGCACTCACAAATCTTGAAAATGTAGAAAAACGGTTTTAAAAATTATTTTGCTCAGTGCAATCTCTTTGGGTGTGCTTTCTCCTAAAGAATGAAATGGAAATGATCATAATTTTGTCCACTTTTTTGTTTTTTCAGGGCTGTGAAAAAGAAGGTGAAGAGCTGAACTATGACCGAGTTGGTGAGATCTTCCGCAGCCTGGTTGCCTTGGTCTCGTCAAAGAGTGGCAAATTCAAGCAGGTGATTGACAGCAAGGAATTTCAACTGCAAGGTGATACTAACCCTGAACAAGTCAGCAATTATGAAGAAGACTTTGATGAGGAAGACGGTACAGGAGACAGAACAGCCAGAGAAGAGAAAAAAGAAGTGAAGGAAGAGGAAAAGAAAAAGAAAGAGGTAAGGGATCTTTTCTTCTTTCAACCTGAAGTATTTTTATGCCTCCGCAACGAAGTAGCTGGAGGCATTATGTAGACGTCACGTTCTTGTGATTGCGTTATCTCAAGAACCGATTGATGGATTCCTGCCAAACTTGTATCATGCTATGTATCTTGCAGAACCAATGCACTGATTAGATCTTGGGGTCACAAGGGTCAAAGGTCACAAGGCTCATTATGTATTAAAAAATAGCTCGTTACCGCATTATTTTAAGCACCGATTGACGGATTCCCGCCAAACTTGGGTCATGTATTTTATCTTGCAGAGCCAATGTACTGATTAGATTTTGGGGTCATGAGGTCAAAGATCAAAGGGTCATACATGAATATGAGAAATAGCTTGTAATCACGATATTTTGAGAACCTGTTAGTGGATTACAATCAAACTTGAATTTTGAAAATTGCTTCTGTTTTGGTTTATAAATTTGCTCTTTTGGGGAGGCATCATTTTCAACTGCACGCAGTCGAAGATCCATCTAGTTTTATTTTGTTAGAGAATGTTAGCAATGAGAATTCTTGATTTTGCAATGTTTAACTAACTTTCCTAATATCTGTGTAGCCATGAAAGTTTGTTGTATGTGGCTGTCTGGGCAGCCAGGCTACTTTATATGTGCCAACAAAAACACTGATTATGTAATAAGTTTGAATAGAGATGCTGCTTTCAACCTGAAGCAGTTTTAAAACCACTAATTAGAAAAAGTGACATACATGTATTCATGAGATCATTTATGTTAGTATTATTAAATATTTGTAGCCGCCCACCGAGGCATTATGTTTTCGGGCTGTCCGTACATATGTTTGTATGTCTGTCTTTCCACTTGAGATATGAACTTCAAACTTTATGATAGTATGTATCATTTAGGAAGACGATCTGATTAGATTTTGGAATACCGGTAACTAGGTCAGAGGCCATAGAGGTCAACTTATCGCATAATATTCATTATGTCGCAATGAAATTACTCTAACTAACATCACTTTTTTTTACAGAGAAAGACAAGAAAGAAGGCTAAACCATCCAAGAAGTCAATGCAAGCCACTCTAAACTGGAAAAATGACATGAATCAGGAGAAAGATGGTGAAAAGAAGGAGAAATCAGAGAAAATTTCTAGACAGACAAGGTATTGTTTCAAGTTATTAAAACATCAAATTTTGGATACAAATGCATTTTCAAAATAAGACATATTATACTAGCAAATGCGCAGGAAAAAATTGTGGCACTTGATTGTGTGGTAAAATATGCAAATTCACTCATAAAGTATCATGTTGCCTTATTGGCTCCTGACTTACCTTAGTTTCATCAGAATGATTGCAATATATATTTAGAAGAAATTGTGTATGTTTTGCAGATTTTATTTGTTGTCTTCGTTGCTTCCCCCTCCCCCCTAAAAAAAAAATCTTAAAAAAATCAAGTATTTCCTGGCAAGAAATTTGGGTCCCCTTTTCAGACAATTATGAATCTGAGTTATCCTTTCTGGTTTGTTTGATCAGTGATCGGCTGAAATCGAAGACACCAGCAATGGAAGATGACTTCTCATCCAGCTCCTCAGAGTCTGAAGAAGAGGAAGAGACGACAGACAGGAGGCAGGAGCAAAACTCGGATCTTCCTTCAGAGTACTGGCAAATTCAGAAACTTGTCAAATACCTCAAGGTAAGCCCAATTAAGTTCTGGGCCCCCTTTTACAAAGAGTCGCTGTTGATTTAAATCTATCGCAAAGCCTAAAATCCATTGCAAACTTTCAATATTGTATCTCTTTTGTACAGAGCTATGACTAATATCAATCTAAAGTTCAGTTGCAATTGATACAGATTGATCACAAAATTTTGGAAGATGGGAGCCTAGAAAGTACTTCAATTTTGTAACAAAGCACCTGCATATGTCCAAGCAAAACCTTCATTCTTAAAAGATTCATCAAAACATTATACTGGTCAGTTTGGTGCTTTCATGAGCATACAGTGTTGCTTTGAAACTATCTGATTCTACAGTTAAGCCCACCTGAGCCAAAAGCTCAAGTGAGCTATTGATATCTTTTTCTGTCCGTCGTCTGTGGTCCGTAAACTTTGTTCATGGTCAACTTCTTCTCAAAAATGCAAGACTGAATTTTAGTCGAAAATTGGTAGGAATCATCCTTAGATAAGGGAGATCTAAAGTTATTCAAATGGGGTACAAAGCCCCAAGGGTGGGGGGGGGGGGGGCCTAGGGTGGCACATCCAAAGTTCATCTTGGGCAGTGATTGGACATTTTCTTCTTCTTGAAAACCAATGGCTGGATTCTAACCAAAACTTGTAGCATTCACCTGCAGGAAAAGGAGATCTAATGTTGTTCAAATGGCGTGTATGCCCCCTAATGGGCCTATGGGCAGCCTTGAAAATCCACTATACAAATAGCAATTCAAGCATGGCAAACTTATGAAAAATACATCCTCTCAGGAATCTTAAAACTGTCGAAAACGATTTTAAAAATTGGTCCAATTGAATAGAGAACATCTGTTCAAAATGCTTTGTTACGCTCATTTTTCAATGATCAAGAAATGTAGATATGATTTCATACCAAAATTTTGGAATGGATTCTGGCTAAATAGTGTAAGAATCATTTTTTTATGTGAATAAGACCTAAATTTGTTTGAATGGGGACTTGGGAGTAGCAACCCTAAATTGCCCCACTGTTCCAATACGTCCTATATTTCTTGGAGCCTTTTTAATAGTGACATAAAATATTACCCTTTCAGGAGAAGAACAAAATCCATTGGAATCTAGTCAATGAATTTCAGTCAGATATTCTTAGAAAGTATGCCACAAATTGTGCCAAATGAGTTTGAAAATTCAATTCTCTTCAACTTCTGGAGGGGCCCCGCCACGTTCCCCTGTCAGACACCCCCTGTCCGCGCAAGCGCGTCTGCCCCACTTCATATTTTGCTCCATTGTGTCCCCCCCACATTTTCAAACAGATTGACGCCCCTGCATCTATGTGTTCGATCAACAGTCAACACCATAATTAAACATGCATACTCATAATCAATAGTTCATGTCAATACAACCAACACAAATACAAACTTCAAAAGGCGATGACACCAATCTTTCATTTTGATAATAACAAATGACCACAAGCAAGCACCTAAGTTAGAAATAACCAATCCACCCTTCCTATGACAGCACCTTTAATCCCTTTCAAATTAGAAAAGAAATTGGAATTCTGTTAAGCTCAGAAATAATATGTGAGCCTTCTGTTTGTTTTTATTCCCTTATGGGAAATATCAGAGTAGAATTTTCATATAGAAATGATCGCTCTGGAAGTGCTCTAGTCTCTCGTACATATGGCTAGAAATAGCTTACAACTAAAGGCTCGCCAGTTATCTGAACAAGCCTTAATGGACCAAATTTTTGATACTGCATGTTCATGGAGTCCCATGTTCCTATCTGCCTATCTATCTGCGTGTAGTGCAAATGCTTTTGATCGCTTGTGATTTTCAGCAAGACGCAATCAATTTTGTTTTGGTACTTTTAAGGATTCCAAAACCCAAGAATACACAATTTGTCCTATCCTAATACAATCCTATTGTTAAACATGACCTTAAACAGGGAGGTAACCAGACTGCTACTGTGATTGCCTTGTGTGCCACCAGAGATTTCAACCTTGCCCAGGAGACCTGTCAGCTAGCTATCAGAGATGTTGGTGGTCTAGAGGTTCTTATCAATCTCCTAGAGACAGGAGAGATCAAGTGCATGGTGAGTTCTTGGACCACTATTTTTAAATTGTGACCCACAGGCTAGATCCTTAGGTGTGAGTAGTCCATACAATGTCCAGGGTTCTATTTGTAAAGTGTGTATTTGGATTGTAACGTGAGAGCTTGGTCCGCAGACATATTAGTAACGAGATCTAATTGATTCACATCTTTAGATACCTACTTGATATGCTACCAACTACTAGAGGGGAAGGTTATTTTGTCTATGTTCTGCAAACTTTTCTAGGTGTATTGTTATTCAAAATATCCTGTCAAGACAACCTTAGTTTGCCTATGGTCATATTTCAAGTATAATGTTAGATGTGCCTTGTGTTTTTAATGCTTATTACTCCTTGCATCAACTTGAAGGGTGTTTGTTTGTTGGCTGTCTGTCATTGCAGATTGGCTCACTGAAGATCCTGAAAGAGATCTCCCAGAATACCCAAATCCGTCGTGCCATCGCTGACCTTGGTGGCCTTCAGACCATGGTCAAGATCCTCAAATCCTGTAACAAGGATCTGAAGTGCTTGGCAGCAGAAACCATTGCCCATGTGGCCAAGTTTAGAAGAGCTCGCAGGACGGTCAGACAACATGGAGGAATCAGAAAGTTGGTATGTAGAAGTTGATTATTCATGAATGAATTGTATTATTGGACATGGGATCATGTTATTGGAAAGGAGGGCACTATAGCTTTTAATCAGATGACATTAAATCAAGTGGAAAAGAGTTTCAAAGAGGAGTTTAATTCTGAATTGATCATTCAATGGATTGTTTGGACTAGCACAATATAAACAATATGAAAACTCGCTGAAATCATATATTTACTAAAAAACTCAACTAAAATTTCCTCATGGACATCTTCCATGGTCATGATTGTGAATTACATATGTCATGCTTCAAGCGTAAATAAAGCAATGTGATTCAAAAATATGATATCCATTGTGTCTGATTAAATATCCTGTGCTTGCAAGAAAAACCACAGCACAATAACAATAAAATGATTGTTCTACTTTCAAGGTTGCACTCCTTGACTGTGCACCTCTTGGTTCAGCCCCTGTCTCTGTTGAGATAGAGAAAGACATTGATGTTGCCCGCTGTGGGGCACTTGCCCTGTGGAGCTGTAGTAAGAGCACCAAGAATAAACAGGCCATTAGGAAGGCTGGTGGTATTCCTCTCCTGGCCCGCCTTCTTAAATCTCCTCATGAAAACATGCTGATACCTGTAGTAGGTACCCTCCAAGAATGTGCTTCAGAGGTGAGTTTGACATATATATTATGTTCCTAGATTATTTGATAGGAATGGTTGAGTAACAATCCTGGGGAGGAGAGGGGTATCATGTTGAGCACTAAAATAATTCGCATAAAGAACCCTAAACGAGGATCCAATTCTAGAGTAGTTATGTTACCCTATACAGTGTCTAACATCTCAGATTTTTAGGTCCTGAACAGGAACAAGTGGACTTAGTTGCATTGTACACAAAATAGAAGCAGTGGCTCCAAAATATTACCTGCAATTCAAGTATAAAAAAAGTCAGATTCCCCAGAAAATAGACTTATCAAAATTGGCACATTTGTGTTTCCGCTTTTCATTCTCTCGCCTCTGCTTTGATCTTTCTTTTTATCATGTATTTCCACATGATTTTAAAATCCTATTGGACCTTCTTCTCTCAGGGCTATCAAATTTCCACTTCTGCATATCTTCTTATGTCCTGTGAATTAGGTACCCTTTTTCCAGATTTTACCTGTTTTTGATACCCTTGAGCCATTATGTGCCATGTGATAAAGAAATACCCTTTCTTTATGTCTTGTGTAATGTAGATGATGGACAGGCCTTCAATAAGGCATCCTCCCCCCCCCCCCCTCGATAACAATAAATATGGCATTTGAAAGTTTTCTCAATCTTTTTTGTTTGTTTTGAGATGGGTTGAAAAACGTTATTATAATCTTTACCATTTGGTAAAAGTTAATGGAGATTATACTTATATTATACTGGGTTGTAGAAGTGATAATCAATGCACAATGCGTACAAGATAATGCTACATGAAGATTTTATACGTTAATGAAGTATTCTCAAATGAACATTGAGGGGTGGATTTGTACATTTACAAGGATGTAGTTTAGGAAACGGGTGAGTTAGTTTCTTACGTATGTAGAGTTTATTTTGTGAATATGTATTCCAGTCATAGATTTAGGGCTTCCCTCAGAACCATAAAGGAATTGAATACATTTATAGTAAGACTTTGTGAATTGTGAATGAAAGAGGTATCTGCAATTAAACTATTTTGAGATTTGCAAAGAATTAAAGTTGCAATTCAATAATTTCATGGTATGACAATTTAGTGAAGTTAGACCACTGGCAGTAAATAGACAGATTCAAATACCGCTTGTTTTGTCTTCAAATAGGTTTTGTTTGATATTTCTGTGACCAATTCTTATGTTTTCATTCTCTCTTTGTCATTCACAGCATAGCTACCGTCTTGCCATCAGAACAGAGGGCATGATTGAAGACCTGGTCAAAAATCTTAACAGCGAGAACCAGGAACTCCAAATGCACTGTGCAAGTGCAATCTTTAAATGTGCAGAAGAGAAAGAGACCCGTGACCTGGTGCGAACCTATGGAGGTCTAGACCCCATGGTCTCTCTGCTGGACAATTCAGATAACAAGGAACTACTAGCTGCAGCCACTGGTGCCATCTGGAAATGTGCCATGAGCTCTGAGAATGTGATGAGATTCCAAGAATTGAAGGCCATTGAAAGGCTTGTATCTCTACTCAGTGACCAACCAGAAGAGGTAAAAATTATTCAGACATTGCATGTATACAATCATATAAACCTAATTTCAATTTCAACTTTGTTGGATTTTAGTGAGAGTTTTAGACTTCAATCTCTGTGTCATTAAGTTTTCATGCGATCAAAGTAACCTTTCAAGATTCAGAATGTCTGTTTTGAATCTATGGGTAGGTGAAAATATATATTTGATTGGAACAAAGTATGTGCTGCATATACCTGTTTCTGTTATGAAACGATGGGAAAAAAAAACAAAAAAACATAACAATTCTTAGTCAAAACATTACTTTTTAGCTGGATTTTCCATTTTGCTCAAAAGGAGTTATATGTTTTGAACAATCCCATAGATACATGCTGTAGCAACCATTGCTGTGTGGTAAATTTGAAACATTAAATGAATTCTACCTTAGACTCAACTATATATCTAACCCAAACCCAAAGCATAACGTAAAATTTGACTACAAACCAAGCCCAAATCTTATATCATTTGACAGAATAACATCTTTAGCAAATTTTGACCACAACCTTCTACATGTAGCTCGATCTGACATTAAATTGAAGCATTTTTAAGTGTAAATTTCAACCAATATGATGATTTCCCTAACTGACCAATACCACTTGACTTGTGATGTTTATTATATGAGATAGGATTGACTTCATGTCGTTGTAACCATAGCCTCTCTCTTCTATCAGGTACTTGTGAACGTTGTAGGAGCCCTTGGAGAATGTGCTGCTCAAGAACCTTCTAATAGGCAGTTGATCCGTAAGGCTGGAGGTATCCCATCATTGGTCAATCTTCTGACTGGTACCAATCAAGCTCTCCTTGTCAATGTGACCAAGGCTGTAGGAGCTTGTGCCACTGAAGCTGATAACATGGGGTGAGTATTTATTCTCTGGTATCATCTCATAAGAGCAAGAGAGGCATTCACTCTGGAAAATGTAATCATGAGAAAGTTATATTGCTCTTCTAGCTCTCACCAGAGCTAGGATAGCTTTCTGATATGCAGACATCTGTCTCCCCCAAACTAAGTGAATTTGATATTGCACTTGTTATGAGATCATTTTCTTGTAGGTATTTCTCATATTATTATTATATTAATACTCTTATTACTATTCAATTTCATACTGATGGTCCATCCTTTATTTCTCTGTTTGTAGCATCATTGATCGATTGGATGGAGTTCGATTGCTATGGTCACTCCTGAAGAACCAGAACCCAGAGGTTCAAGCCAGTGCAGCTTGGGCTATCTGTCCGTGCATTGAGAATGCCAAGGTAAGCTAGGATTAAACCTTCTTTAACCCAGGGGCACATCTTGTGCATTACACCCTGTCTTGCTTGATCCCAGACAGATTCACATGAGCCAAGGCCAGAAACTTGTCATGTATCTAGCAGAAGAGTGGAAATACATATTTACATCAAAAATGTATAAACATTTTCTTTGATTGCCAAAGTAATAATATCACTGTTTACAGTTGGAACAATATGCAGACTGAAATGTGTTGCTTAGATGAAGTCAAAGAATAGTCAAGACTTAGATGACTGTTTACTTGGAATGTGCAACCATACATGTACATTCATTGGCACCCTTCTGCTAGGCACACAACTGTTTCCACTTTAGAATCAAACAAAGGAAATGGGTGTTTTCAAAATCCTGAGATTAATGTAATAAGATAATTCAGTCTATTTCACTGTAGAACATATAATTGAAAGAGGTAAGTCCATGGTATTTTGTCTGTTGTACTACAAAGTACAGCAAAGATTGTACTATACCCGCTGATTGATGTGGATAGTCTTGCTATATCATTGTTCCTTATTCCTTTAAGCATAGGGGATGCATAATGACCCATAGTGGACGTTGCAGTAGACTAGAGGTGTCATAGTCCAAGTGGTTTTGAGCACTTAATTTTAAATGCAAAGGTTGTAGGTTAGATCCTGACATGCCACTAGTGTACTTTGGCAAGGCATTAATCTACATTTGCCACTCAATACACAGGAGAGAAATAGGGACCTGGTAGGATGACGAAATCCTTTGTGTTAGTAATTGACATATAGTAGAAATACTCCCCTGGAAATATAGATGGTGCATATTGTGCATGAATGAACAGGTTGCCCGGGGTAATGATAGCTGTAAATCACTCAGATACAGTATTTTGTATTATGAGCTATATAAATCCTGATTATTATTAAATATGAACAATAAGTATTCTGCAAACTTATTCATTGTTTCCAATGTCATTCTTCTATGTAAAGGATGCTGGTGAAATGGTGAGGTCTTTTGTAGGAGGCTTGGAGCTCATTGTCAGCCTCCTCAAATCTGAAGACAAGGAAGTGTTGGCCAGTGTGTGTGCAGCTATTGCAAACATCGCCAAGGACGAGGAAAACCTTGCTGTTATCACTGACCATGGAGTGGTGCCTATGCTGGCCAAGCTAGCCTCAACGGTCAGTAGTACCTCGCTTTGTTTCCTGTTCTTAGAAAAGAAAAATATTTCATTATGCAAATGAAGAATATAATTTGAGAATGGAAAGCATCTTCTTTGATGCCAAGATAATGATACATTTCAATGTGCTTTACATTAGATACAATAATAATACCTAGTGTTTTTCCTGTTGCATACTACATATTGTTGTAGCCACATTTTACATGTATTAACATGAATATCTCTTGTGTTACAACATGTATACCCTACATGCCATGTTTTGACTTATCATGCTAGAAATACAATTGCAATGATTCTGTCCCATATAAAATGAAGAGGTTTTATTAGGTTTGTAACTGTCTAACCTTCTCACCACTCAACAGACTGATGATAAACTGAGAAGACATCTAGCTGATGCTATTGCTAGATGCTGTATGTGGGGCAACAACAGGGTGGCTTTTGGTCAGAACCAGGCAGTAGCTCCACTTGTCAACTACCTCAAGTCACCTGATGCCAGTGTCCATTGTGCTACGGCAGAAGCACTCTACCAGCTGTCTCGAGATCCAAACAACTGCATTACCATGCATGAGAGTGGGGTTGTCAAGGTGAGTGGCTAATAAAACCTCTTACAAATACCTCTCATTGCACATTTGATTATGCAGCCACCTTATTACAAAGAATCCAATGCTTTATCAAGTAAACATACTATGGTGCATTTGGACATACTCTATTTTATTTTTAATCGGAAGCCACATAAACTGCAGTCTGTGTGACTTGCATAGGAAATTGAATGTTAGCACCTCATCTTTTCTGAGTTTGCTCATCTGGCAACTAACAAAAATGCAAGTAAATATTGCTATTCTTTTGTGCTAAATGGCAATTACTAAATGGCATGTTGAATATTTCTTATAAGCCCCCCCCCCCCCCCCCCCCAAAAAAAGAAGAAATAATAAAATGTAGAAATCAGTCACTTAATTCCACATATTGTTTTGATTATTCATCCCAGTTATATACCAGCAAACAAAATGGCACATGACACTTTGGGGTATAAGGAATGGACATGCCTCATCAGTTTTGAGAGGAATTTTTTTCTTCAAATATTTATTTTTTCTCTCACTGTTTTGTGATCAGCTCCTGGTCTACATGGTAGGCTCTGATGTACCAGCTTTACAGGAGGCTGCTGCAGGCTGTATTGGAAATATCAGAAGACTGGCTCTGGCCAATGAGAAGGCCCGCTATAAATAGATTTCTACCCTACCAATAGCTATCAACCAATAGGAGAACAGATACCACTGCCTGTTCAAAGACATTTGTGACCTGACTTTCAACAACACCAATAGGTTTAAAATAATGGAAGGGCAGTTACCACTAATGTCTGAAGAACATTTTGAATCAGCTCCGGCAAAAAACCTATAAGAAATCCTTATGAAGTTGGAAGTATACCTTGGAGTTTACCTGGTATGACTAGTCAGATTAATGTACATGTTACATCATGTATAAACTAAATTACATTAAAAAATTGTAATAACAATTCAATTGTTAAAAGTAGAATAACTGGTTTTAACTGTTAAGAATAACATGGCATGATGAAATGGAAAATTAGTAAAATATATGTTATTAATAAGGACTTTTGTGACATAATTTTGATTGACATATTCCACTGTTATATACATTAGATATTGTCTTTGTAAATTTGTTAAAATGTTATATTACATTGTCAAAAATTTTTTCCCACTCTTTATGTAAGAAAATGGATGTGCACAATGTAATTGTAGAATCAGTGGGTAAATTAAATCGTAGCCAACTGAAAATTCTTATCCTCACTCATGTTTACAGCATTCTTTCAAGCTACAGAGTTTATTGTGCCGTCCAACTGCATTCCTTCAGTTTTGCTATCAATGTTATTGCCTCAGAGTTCATAAGATTTTCTTTTTGATTTCCTTCTAAAAATTGTTGAATGTGGGGGATTAAATCCTGTTGAAATTTCTTTTTTAAAATCAATGAATGACCAAACTATAATGTACAAACATATAATTTGCTATATGCTAAATATTTTCTTCAATCCTGTGCTAATATGCCTGCTGAATTTCTCTTAAAAAAATAAAATAATGTATCAATCTTTTTTTTTTTTTTTTTTGGGGGGGGGGGGGGGGGTGAAAAAGGTATTGTAATGTAAATATTACCCGAAACATTGTTTTAGATTTATTTATCTATTATTGCATGTATGCAGGTGTATAAGTTAAGTTGAAATGTAATGTGCATGTAAATATATCTATAAATATATATCTTTTTTTTTTTTTTTACTGTTTTCTTGTATATTCTGATGAAACTTTAGCATTGAATTGATTGAATACTATGACTTCTTGTAAAATACATATATATATATATATATACATATATATATACTGTCCAGTATAAATTCATTGACATTTATTTGTGATAATATCAATTTGCATGATTCCGTTCTGATGAAAATATTTCTTGCATTATGAAAGAGCAAAGTTCTGAGAATAAGACAAAAAAATTGTACTCTGTCTTTGAATATGTAAATAAAATCTTTTTAATGCATTTTCTTGATTTGTGATTTTAGTGTAAAATTTGAATGGAGATTTCATGTATAATTGTTGGGATGTAGTATATTGGTGATGGGCAATCACCAATTGTTACAGGAGGGGTAATATTTTTAACATTAGTGAAGATTTTTTTTAAATTGTGACACTTGTGTCAATGTAAATGAGTGGAATAGCAATGAAAAGGCATTCGATATACAGTTGCAGGTGGCTACTTTCAAAATATACTTTATATAATTATCTCCTTCCCTTGTTATCCATTTTCTTTGATTTATTTGTCCCATTCCTCTTCTCCGACCTGTCACCTTTGTTAGCCAATCTGATACCATCAATAAATGTTTGTGTCTGTTTAAGTGTAGCGCCATCTAACGTCGAAAACGTTACATAATGTAATTTACCGTTCTTCTTCTTTCTAATAATTTTTTCTCTCATGACTTTTTATACGAGACCGAGATCAATAGCCAACTATCCAACAGAAAATCGTACCTATTTGCAATAGAACACTTGACATTTAAAAAAGCACTCTGCGAGGTTTCGCTTCATCCAAAGTTTGTATTCTCTAACGGAGAAAATAATTATTTTTCACCTCCTCCCAGAACTCGACCTTCTCTAAAATGGACAAAGTGTGACAATTATACCGCCGGTAATATACGAATTGGGTTCAGCCTAAATGGCTTTTAGACAAAATTGTTATTGATAACAAACAAGATCGCAACTATTTTCGAAAAAGCAATCGCAATAGCCTAGCTGTGCGTTATATCTGAACGTGCTTTCTAAGGGATACAATACAGTAACTAGCCGTTGAATTGATTTTTCGAAAATATTTGTGAACTTGGGATCGTCTACAATTTACGAGTCCCTGGTGATGGTGATGGTAATAACGACAAATAATGATGGTATAATGAAAGTGAATTTGGCGAAATTGGTAGGCCTTATACGTATCACTTGATAAGTAAAGACGAAGTGGTGGTTGAACAAAAATGTTACTGCCAACATGGACGGGAAAATCCCCTGCAGGTAGGGGGGGGGGGGGCATAGCGATATATCTAATCAATCTCGCCTAAGACTGGAAATTTGCCAAGACAAAAACATATATATATATATTTAACAAGACTGCAAATATACAACTGTGGAAAGTGTGTGGGATCGAGGGGTTCCCCTTACAACTCTGCGCAAATTTTGAGCTGAGATTTTAAATTCCTCGGGACTGTTGTTCTTGGTATTAAAATAGAATTAATGCATTCAGTTGGTATTAGTGGAGGGGCCCTCCTCCCATTCGGAAACAAATTAAAAGCCCACATGCGTATTTTGACACACACATGCACCTTTATTCGTGGTTTTGAAAGGAAATTGAAGGATAAGACACAGCATAAAGAAGGTGCCATCTTTCATCCTGAGACCATTTTGAGATTTGATATTTTTCTTGATGAATTTGTTGTTAGTTTAGAAGGAAAGAGTGATGAAGACCCTACAAATTGCAGGAATACAAATTTATAATCGTCACTCAGTACGCCATGGCCGACTGATCCGCTATATTACTAGTACATGTATAAGGATATGCGGTTGCAGGTACACGGTCAAAGCCAGAGGCGACGTTGGGGCATGGGGCTTAGGGCTTGGGACACAGTGCCCCCGAGAACCCCAAATTGCCACTTTTTACTTCAGATGAATGCCCCTTCTTCTTTTTAATAAATGCCCCTTTCCCTTTTCATAAGTTTCCCTTTTGACCTCTAAAGGCTACCCTTTTTTATGTAGGCAAATACTGGGGTAGTATACTCTGCTAAGGGCCTAATGAAAATCCTGTGTAGAAAGTGTGAAGACCCTCAATCGGCAATCCATGACTTTATAATATTCTGATAAGCAGGGTTGGCATGTTCAAAACAAAATTGGACGGAGTTTAAAAACGCGTTTTCAAATCGCCTGTTATTTTTGTTTAAAGATAAAAACATGCTTTAACTTACTTTTATAGACATTGTGTGTTAGAAGTTGTGCATCTTTGACGTTCAATGTGTTTTTAATTTTCTTGCTTCAATTTTTTGGTTTCGCATTAATTTATTTTTGGCATGTAGGCCTACGTGATTCAAAAGTTGCTTATTAAAATACCAATGGAGTAAAATCTTCATCACCTATTTCTCTCCCCTCTTTGGGTTTTCTGAAAAGTTACACGGGTTCTATAAGAGATTGACAGTAGGCCTAAATGATACCGCTTAAGAATATAAAGTCCCCCACACCCCCCCCCCCCCCCCCCACCCCCGAGACCAATAAGTTGGTCTCAGTCGTCTTCTACACACTATCCTAGTATTTGCACGAAAGGAACGTTGTTAATTCTGTTGAATATTGGTCTGCCGGGATGTTCTTGTGAAAAATCTTTAAATCTTCAAACATTTTGATGAAAGTATTGTTGAATATAGCACGTATACATACTCCTATAACAGCGTCATGTGCCCCCCCCCCCTTTCTGAACCTGGCTGCTTTCGACTCAAGCATTCCTGCCTAATAATTGGCCTCTGCATTTATCTTGATTCCTTGATTTACCTCCATGTATATAGTTTCAAGTTTTCTAATATATCTAGGTGTGTTTTTGTCACATTTTATGTAAATTATTCTTTGAATATTTTGTATTTGGTTTTCGCTCGCTCGTGAAATTTATAAACTGGGTGGTTGATATTCATCCACCAGCTCTCAGCCCCCTCCCCCCATTATTTGCATATGCATATGAATTCAGCACTCCAGTGCATGGACATTTTTATATGGGTAAATAAATAATGAACTACGCAATTTCTTTGTTTGCCCGGGTGCCATAATACCGAGATACGCAACATTCGCCTGTGTTCTCCGTTATATAAATTAACATAAAAATAAAAACAACGAAATTCCTTTTTATACAATATAATACAATAAAATTTAACAAATGTTTTTTTTAAAAACATTTAAGATAAAAACGGTGTTGATAGGATGTATCCTTCCATTGGCACGTTGTATCATATATTAATCAAAGCGTTCGTTCCACTTGATGTCACTATTATTTTGTGCATTCCTAACAATTTGACGGATTCAGACTGCTTTAGAGATTGTTGATTTATATGTAATAACGGAGGATCTGAAGAAAAAATCTTTCCAGGCGCCATTTTGCATATATTAATTAGGATTTATGTTAGAATTGGATATTAATGGACATGTTGACCATATAGGCTTATGATTGAATATTATGCAGCCCCTGTATGGAATGGAGGCCTCACTAAAAATCACCAGGTTAGAAAGAGTCCAAAAAGAGAGTTTTTAGAGTGATTATCGGTGTAAATTACTCAACTTATGACACTGTCCTTAGATGAGTTGAACCTCGAATCTCATGCTGATAGAAGAAAGAGTTTGAGCTTGTCGATCGTTCTTCCAAAAGACCCTACTCTACACCAAGTGCGTATATTTTAGGGGGCGGAAGTGAGCACGCAAAGCGAGCGAATCACAGAGGGCGCGAAGTGTGCTCCCTAGGGGGTGGGTGCAGAGAGGGGGAAGCTTTGACGTTCATCAAATTATTATATATTAGAGAAAGAAGACGATTCGTTGTACCGTTCACGACTCTTAATCCTTGTCTGAATTAAAAAAACAACCTTTTTCTTCCTATACGTCCTCTTACTTTTTTCTCTTCTCTCTCTTATTTTTGGCCGGCGTTTTCGGGGGGGGGAGGACGGGGGGGGGGGGGCGACCATGCTCCCTCTGACTACGCGCTTGCTCTACACTGACCAATTGAAACAGTAATTTCCTCTAGTAATTCAAAAACACTAAGACGTAACCCCCCAAAACCTGAACTCATATGTAAAACTAAACGAATGCAAAATAGTGCAATTCCGCACCCCATCCATCCGCTTAACCAAAGTAAACCATGGATGGTCCTCCTTTTCTTGGCAATCATTGTTCAGCTTTTTGTTTTGTTTTGCTTTGTAGTTCTTTGACACTTTTTTTTCCTTCTTCTTCTTCTTCTTCTTCTTCTTCTTCTTCTTCTTCTTCTTCTCCTCCTTCTCAATTTCGCTCCTCCTTCTTCTTCCTTCACTCTTTGATTTTATTGCCTTGCCTTTGCCTGTGTTTACACTCCTACTAATCTTGTATTGTATATTTGTTTCCGACTTTTTAAGTATCTTTATTCTCCATTTTACCATAGTCTTACAATATTGAAATGAACTTAATTGAATTTAACTGAATCTGTTTAGACAGTAGTTTATCACACCTCTGCGCCCCATGCATCCCTTGTCCACTTTAGGCATGGTTGTATATTTTCACTTCGTTTTGTCCTTTTACTCTTTTAACTCTGTCATTACATCTTCCCTTTCTTCTTCTTCTCCTTCCTTTTCCTCTTCTTTTTCCTCTTCTTTTTTTTCTTCTTCTTCTTCTCCTTCTTCTTCTTTATTGTCTTCTTCTTGTTTCCCTTCTCTTTCTTATCCTTAATGCATTTCAAAGGATTTTCGCTTTTTACTGTTTTTCTATATCTTTACTCTCCCTTTTTCAAGTTCAAGTTCACTTTATTCAATACTTTCATTAAAAATAAAGAAAGGAAATCAAACATAACAAGTTAAAATATAATACATGTATCAATATATAACATGAGAATAACACAAGTGGAGAAGACATGGGGAACAAGGGGAAAACATTCTAAACATGTACATTAATGAAAGTATTTGGAGACTATAGACAGGAAGGCCGGGCCTTTATACAGTATGTAAAAGTCTGTCTCCAGTAACATTATTGTATAAGAAACTAAGTACATTATTTAATTTTTTTATTTGTTATAAAAGGAAGAAAAAGGAAATGATCTGCATTCACAGATACACTCTCTCCCATACACACCAAACACACACTTTTCTGTCTGATGTAAATTAAGAATATAGGTTATTGCACTACTGAGTATTGTCTTAATAAGTACAGTTAAAATTTTCTTTTACAACGATTTAGTGATGGGCTCAGTCGAATATCTATTGGTATGTCATTCCAAATTTTGGGACCCCTGAATTTTTTTTTGTATTTTGGGAAAGTCTCTCCCACTCACAATTTCAATAATTTACATTGAATTTGCAAACTTTTCTCCTCATGTTACTTTATGCTTATTCTGATTTCTTTCTAGTTTGTGTTTGCATAATGTTGCAATAAGCTTTATTTTTCGTATTTATACTGATTTATTTTTCAGATTCAATATATCAAGCAGGGAATGGTATCGCCAGAAGTTGAAATACGGAAAGGTGTTTGACAAGGTTGTATGATCTCTTTGTTGTTATTCAACATTCAGAGTACTGAATGATGAGGAGGGTATCAAAATAGGAGGTTTGAACATTAACAACATGAGGTCGATTCTGTAATAGTAGCCGAATAGGAGGGGGATTTGCAGAGACTTGTAGGGAAAGTGAATGATGAAGGGAAACGATTTGGTATGGCAATTTTCCTCCAAGACTAAGCCGACCATGGTGCTGTCGCGGAAGAAGGAAGTCCCCCGTGTTAGCATTCAAATCAATGATGAGCGAGTTTGTTAATCTTGGGCAAACAGTCACAGAGAATGGAAAACGTAACAATGCAATAAAACAGAGGATTAAAATTGCAAGATCAGTCTTCATGAAAATGGAACAGATATTGTAGGAGTATAAACTTTGAGCTGAGATGCAGAATCTGTAAATGCTACATCTGGAGTACTCTATAATTGGAGTCGAAACATGGACTCTATATTTTATGCAAAGAAACAGAACGAAAGTTAGAAGCATTTGAAATGTGGTAAGTTCCGCAGAATACTCAAAATCAGCTGGGTGATGAAAATTAGTAACAAAGAAGTCCTGCATGAGCAGAGAGAGAGAGAGAGAGAGAGAGAACTGATTAACGCAGTACAGAAGAGAAAAATAGTGTATGTTGGTCATGCGATGAGAGCTAGAGGAGGATTGCAGCAGATTGTAGAGGGTAAACGAGAAAGGGGTATACAGCGATTGGTATGATGATTTCAAGAAATGGACTAGGTTAGAACAAGCTGGTACATGACACTGGTGGATCTACGGGCGAAGGGGGGGGGGGGGGGTAGGGCGTTTACCCCCCCCCCCCTGCGGCTGTCAGGTGAAAATGTGATGTGCATAATAGAGAAACGCCGGAGATGCATAGCCGCCAACCCTTCCGAATACATTATGTGTTATTAATTTTGTTTGTAAACTTTTGTAATTCGGCTAAACGCCGCGATGATATATTTGAAATAAACCATTTTGAATGAATGAGTGAATTTTATTGGAACATTAATGTTTGAGAACAGAATGTATATAGTCTCAAGCTTTCTATCATGTTTAGGTTTTTTTTTTTTGTATTTCAGTTGTCACATTTTATGTAAATTGTTATTTTGAATATTTTGTATTTGGTTTTCGCTCGCTCGTGAAATTTGTAAACTGGATGGTCGATTTTAGTATAAAAATCCCTAAATATGGGTCCCATTTTAAACAAAAATATCCCTAAACATGGGTCCGTTTTTTTCAAAATTTCCGAGTGTTTACATAATGGCAAACATTATTTCGAGAAAAATCCCCTCAAATGACCCTCAAAATTGGGTAGGGGTTTCGAGGCTTCAGCGTCACACTCACACCCCCGTCAAAACTAAATCTGAGACCCATACCATTCCAACTCCCTGGTCATAGTATCTCTCATCAATATCACAGCTAAATCATTGAACTACATGCTTTTGTAAATTTTCTTTCTTCACCCCAAAAAAGTATGTGTATCAAAATAGGAATGAGAGATGGGGATTTTTTTTTTTAGGTCGGTACAACAAGAAAAGTGACGATTTCCACACAAAATTTACAACCATTATACGGAGGGGTGTGTACGGAAGAAATAATGGCACACGGTTCGCCGGATGTGCGCTGTATGTATGCACAGCAGTTTTTTCCCCTGCGCGTGAAGATCCGACTGCTTTTCCCCCACACGGAATTGCTGTTGCGGATCCGTATCTATTTGGGATTATTTTGTGGAATATATCGTCTCCAATCAATCTTTGATCAGGTATTTAATTTCTTATATCACTTATCAATTAATTATAAAATTGACAGACACATTTACGTATATTGTGTGCACTGTGCAGAAGTTACGAAATCTTTGTTCCGACATCGCGGGATTTGTGTGCGAGAGAAAGCGACTGAATGAAACGTTTTCCGTGTGTGAGTCGAGAGACGAAGCGAAGAAGTGACAATTTTTCTATTTTTACCTTTATCTTGGGATTTAGATGAATGACAAATGTGTGGATTATTCTAAGATGTTTGTGTATCTGTTTATTGTAGGACTGCTTGCGGGCAATTATTTAAAAGTTTCACGTCAATCGAACTTGTGATTTCATTCTGGGAGGAATTCTTAGTTTGAGTTTGAGCATCTTGTCGGAACTGTTGAGAGGAATAAAACAAAGTTGTAAAAAATGATCATCACCTTAGCCTCGGGATTTGAAACTCATTAGCGCGGCCGGGTCTCTTTTGTTTAGTAATATTTTGTTGTTCATGACCTGTCTGTTTTTGTCACAGGATTGTTTTGCAGACCGTTGGCAAAATGCCGAATAATAACCGAGCTTCTGAGAGCCAGCCGTCAGGAACAACACCTTCGAATCCAGCTGCTCCGAGCTCATCGACTACGAGCAGTCGACCGTCTTCGGCTGGAAGTGGTGGTCGACGAGGTGGACACTCCTCCCAAGAAAGAGGGAATAGAGAGGTGAAACCGAATCACTCGATGGGCAAACCAGGCTCCAAGAGCCCGCTTAGCTCAAGCGCCAAAAGGTTTGCCACTAATTTCACCCCTCTCTCTTTGATACCGATTTTAAATAGTATTTACAGTCGGCATGCCGTGAACAATCGGAGGCGAATTTAGTGTGCGTACAGCGCCGTGGCACTATGCGATCAATGGCATTAATCAGAAAACAGCCATTGACATGATGTGTATGTAAAGTCCACTTCACCGCTCCACTTACTGGCGAGCTACCTAATTTGCATATAAGCTATAAACAGTTATCTCTCTAAATTTAGACCCTAAGTAACCATCATGTTTATGTTTTGGGGTCCCATTTACCAATCTTCATTACAATATACCAACTTTTTCTCAATATTTTGTGCCATAAGTGAGAAAAATACGATTTTCTGTGCAGAAGCTTACAACTTGCACAGGCTGTGACTGTGAGCATGCGTGCACGGTGCATGGCACAGCTCACTCTACGTACATGATATGCATGTCGGGATTGTGATTTTGTGTGCGGATTGAAATCTTGAAAGAGTGACTCACTGGGTGAGAGTGATGAACTAATCACAAGATGATTCTTTGTTCAAATAACATTGTATATATTTTATCTCATAATAGGATTGGTGTGACATGCTTTTAAAAAAAATATATTTTGTTTACATGAAAAGGTCAATATCTATTATCTAGAGTAGACTATCTTCTATTAAAGATAAAGACCAGTTATGGTCATGCGATTGCATTGTGAAAGAAACGTTGTGGAATTGATCAGAAAAGGTTTCATCTAGCATATAAGTATTGGTGTGCACTGCAAGGTTCTGGAATCATCAACATGATAAGAAATTTGGCAAAGTCTTCGTAAAGTTACATGCACTGTACACAGAAAGATGTATATGGGACTACGCACACGTGCGCGACATGTGCCTTTATCTCTCACACACCAATAGATAAACTTATTTACCAAATATATCAATTAGTAGGCGGTTTCCCCGGCAAATTTGTTATCATCATGTATTAGTGAAAACATATTGTTTCACATGATTGGTAATAAGAGCTTCCATTTCTTTTGTTGAAATTGGGGCGTTTCCAATACTGGTCTTTACCTTTAAAAATGTTTGGAACATTCTGGTTTCTGCTAACTTACCTTTTGAGTAAGAAGTGCAGTGATATATACTGTATGTTACTACCGGTTTAGATTTTAGTTTTAGATTATTATACCCTGCCGGAATCATCCAAGTTTCAGTTGGTTCTCTTCAAAATCTTTTCTTAATTATGCTTTTGTTGTTGTTGGTTAAACCAGCATTACATGGACATCATGTACATTAATATATTACAAGATGTGGGTCTATAAAATTGATTCACCATGAAGCTAGACTACAGACTACTTCCAAACATACATGTAGTTGGCTATCAATTTGAGCATACATTGTATGGTTGAGATCGGAAAAATGCCACTCCATGGAATGACCCGGAAACATGAATTCTATACAATATGCATTAATTAATTTGTCCAACCTGCCAGAAACTTATTTTTTTAATTATGCCGCAGGTCATTGAGTTTTAAGCATACGTGTACAGTTAACTCTGCATAACGCAAATTTGTTGAGACTGCATAAAAGAGTTTGACAACATTTGACATAAGAAACATATGTACATGTACTGTGATGTACATGTCTTGCATAGTTGGGTAAAAAAATTGATTTGTCTTACATGTCCTACATGTATGTACTGTAGGGGAAATTTGACTTGTGTTTTTGAGTTATGCAGAGTTATCTGTACATTGTAGAATCATAAGTGTGCTGGGCAGCTTTTTGTTACCTGGATATCAACTGCTGGGTTTCTAAATTGTGTTACATGTAAAACGTCAGAGTGATTTTTAAAACATTTTATTTCCCTAGAATATGAAATTTTGTCCTCAAATATATGGACATGCATATTTGACAGTGACAAGATACAAAAATGCCTCACTACCTGAAGGGAGATGGCAGGTGCCTGAATGTTGACATTTTAACATTTTGCAAAGGACATGACGAAATAGTTCGGTTGTAAAAATGATAGAGATAAAAAATGCCAGCTTTGGATGTTATTACTTATACTGCCCTTGTAATATTATTCCTGGCAGAAGGTACTAAGGTTCTGGGTGTAATTGTTCTTTGGGAGTCCAGTAGTAGTTAATCTGTAAGCATAGACTGTAATATGACCCTAAACCACAATTCGTAAAGCCTTGAGCAGAGCCTAAATCTGTCAGTTTCTGGCTGTGTCCAGAGCAGCAAAATACAGAGCCTTTTGTAGTCCCATAGTGCAGACACTGTAACACATCAACTGACAAGGGATTGTGCCTGCAACTACTTGGGGGGAGGGAGGGGGGGGGGGGGGTGTAATTGTCCAGGTGGTAGTTGTCCAGATACGACTGCGGTCTTATATACATCTCAACAACAGGCTTACATATATGTATTTAGAATTGAGATGAAACTATTAAGTCCGGGAGAACAATAGTAATAATAATAATAGGCATTTCTATACCGTCATCAATCTAAAAATTCTATTCCGAGGCGCATTTATTATTACCCCGACTTAAGCCTAGCTGCCATTACAGCATTTCAAGGAATTAATTCCTGCCAGGTACCCATTTACATCACCTGGGTTAAGTGTAGCAAATGTAGATCAATGTCTTGCCAAAGGACATTAGTGCCGTGGCGGGACTCGAACCACGCACCTTGTGATTGACAGTCCGTCGACGTATCTTCTCGACCATGACCCCACATTTTCTAAATTTTTATAGGAGATGTTTTAGTTCATTAATTATCAACTTTTCCCAACTTTTTAGACTTCATTACAGAACTTTCATTCATATGTTTAAAATCTTTATGTTAGTTTCTGAAAGCCTGAAATCAAGAAAACAATTTCGAGAAGGACAAGTTTTTAATCCCCCCCACCCAATACAATACACTTAAAGACACTACACTGTATATACAAATTGGTGTCAAAGTTGGGCCAGTTCACCATGCCACAACCAGACTGTTCAGTAGAAGCCAAGCTACAATATACCTGAGCAGATACCCTATTTTACTATCTTCAACAAAAAGAAAAGGTGGCAGAAGCATTTATTATGCAGATAATCATCTTCTTGTTTGAAAGAATAGGCAATTTTCATTATGTAATCAAATTTAATACACAAATCTTTGTTAAAGGTGGTGTGTCCCTTTTGCAGGCTACATGTACATGACACATGTACTGTACATGCATACAGTATAAACTTGTGTGAGTGCTATGGTAAACAAGAGATAATACCAACTAAAAACTCACCTGAAAAGATAAGAGCTTGTAATTGCCTTTTATGTGGAATTATTTCGACCATTCGATCGCAGGTCTAGATTACAATTAAATGTGAGAAAGCTTTCATCCTTGAAGCCTTTTTTGAATAAAGTAAACAACTTGTTTACACTTAACCGCTACAAAAGAGTCTCAGATAAACTGTAAAATCTTGCTTTAGAAACCACCAAATGAAATTATTAAAACGTCAAATTGAAGAAAAAGAGTTTTTTTATCTCAAAAATATCGCAGTTAGTTGTCAAACCCTGTTTTAATATACACTGTACATATATGCGAAAACTGCAAAACGAAGCGCCATTTTTTGTAATTTTTTTCTCTGAAACTATTGCAGTATTTTTCAAATTTTCCGTCATTGCGCAAGATGGAGACTTTAGTAAATGATAAATCAAAGTATTTTACAGCTTCATTCGAATATCTTTTCATGATTTTACGTCACATGGTTATGTCGAGGGAAAAATTGAAGGCTATGTCTATGTCATCAAGGAACTCATGTCGAACGTTCAGTGTACATGTAGTCCCATCCATAGGGGTTCTTGCAGGAGAGTTGTAGTCCCATGTACCGTTATACGTGCAGGACTGTGTGCTGGACTCGGTATGTGTGTTTAGAGCACGGGTGGCCAACCTTTTAAAGCTCGCGGGCCACAGCCAACGATAGGCATAACTTGGTTGGCCGTAGGTACTCTTCTCCCCCACCCCCACCCCTTTACACACACACACACACACACACACACACACACACACCCATGCAATACGTGTACACCTGCAATTTTCCAAAAACAAACAAGCAAATAACAAAATCAGTGAGGAAAAAAAATCAGGCTTACTTTGATTTCCGGGACAACTCTCCATGCCTTTTGTACATCAAATTTCATGTTTTTCCTTCTTTCTTGTGATTGAGATAATAGAATGCAAAATGATATTCTACTTCACATGTTATGAAATACGATCAAGAACACAATTAAATAGGAAAAAAATGAAAGACTTGTGAAATTTGATGTACAAAAGGCATGGAGAGTTGTCCACAAATGATGTCATCAAATTGAATATCGCCCTCTAGTGACCAGTCATTTTATAAAGCTTTAACTTCCTTATTCCTTGCCTGATTTTGTTCAATTTTTTACTGATTTTATTCAAATATCTTAAACTTTACAATAAAAGTAACTTACATGTAGTATGAAGGTTTTGGTTCCCTTTAATGAAGAACATCATATCTAGATTAGGTGTATATTTGGTATCTTTTTCCTGTATTTTTTTCCAGCATTACATAATTACAGACATAGACCAACACACGAACGAACACACACACACACACACACAAATAGTACACACAAGAGCAACCATACTCACCACCATTGTAATTATGTTCAAAATTGGACAATCCCTATGAACAAGTGAGTGGAAAAATATATTTCCCGGTAAAAAGCGGTAAATACCGTTAAATACCGCTTATTTCCCGGCGTCCGGGAAATAAGCCAACCCTGAGACAAATATAGCATTTCAAACCTATTTCTCGATTCACAACATTTGTTTATTTACGAACGTTACTGCGTGCAGAAATTACAAACTGAAATTAACATGGCGAGTGATGCTAATGTCCTTAATGTAATGAGATACATGTACATGGTAAGAGGGAATTTGAGAAGTTTTGTATCAACCAAGTAATGAGTCAATATGTTGTGAATGATGAAAACAAATTATGGAAATAGAGATAGCTGTGTGTAAATGTTTTACCCTATTTCATCGCTGCTATGCAGGCCGCATTTCATTTATGAGCTATTTTTATAATGACTTTTTCAATGCGGGCCACACCAGAAGAGCTGACGGGCCGCGGGTTGGCCACCCGTGGTGTAGAGCATCATCGATTTGGTCTTTGTAATGTCGTGAATAAAACATGCTTGTGGTGGTGCCTGGTCAGAATGAGTCGAAACTGAACAAAACAATGACTACCGTAATAAATAAATTAGTATAATGTAGGTACTGTGAGTACTGTGAAGATATGGTGCAGTTGCTGCAATTATAACACAAATCGAGTTTACTAATCTGCAGCAGCCACAACGTAAAAACAACTGGATGACGCATTTTGCATAGTATGCACGCACGGCCGATAACATTCTGAACAGCGCATATGCGTACACCTCCGATATAGTTGTAGTTTCAACTTTCCAGTCTTTTCATGAATCTTCCCCTAGTTTTGAAAGCAGTTTTTAACTGCAAACACGAAACTTCGCAGAAAGTGAGACTGGAATTTAAAGGCTGTGCACAACCGTGTAATGAGGTACCCGAGTACACTCCCAGGCTTACAACTTGTTACAAGCGAATACTCGAATATTCGGACGCCATGTTTTTAAAAAAAATTATTATTATTATTATTTTTTGTTGTTGCCACCACCATACCACAGGAGCAGTATCCCAGGTTCGTCTGGGAACACTCAGTTTTACTACGTGTTGCAGTTGAAGGCGCCGATTTAATAATAATGATAACAGTAAACAATGCTGTTTTGAACCAAAGATGGCAGAATAATCCATTTTCCTCAGAGTCCAAACAGAAATCCGGACATTTGGTCCCAGTTTCTGAGTGGTAAGTTTGACAGTGATTGAGCTTGGAAACATTTTTACCGACGGTACCATGCCAGCGGCCGGCGCTCTCCCTGGTACGGGTACCGGAAAGCGTGGGCCTGGACAGTGCCAATGGTAGTGATACCAGAAAGCACCTTTATTCAATAGTCAAATCAAAAGATGCTTCATTTTGGATGAAATATGTGGAAAAGGACATGTACATGTACATGTATATCTGTCGTACAGGACACATCGAATGGAATCAACCATGAATGCCTTGGCCTTGGCGTCTTGAGAGTTTGGGTCTTGATTGTACATGTACAACACGTCAACACTGGTCTAAACTTATTTTGAAAGAAAAGTGTAGCTTTATTTTGTAATCTGTTCCGAAGGTTCACATGTACAGTGTACATCATAGCACTTTCAGTTCATGGTCCATGCAGGGAGATGTCATCTTGTAAGCCTTGAAATAAGCGGCGCAGGGCACAAATTTGCGCTCGCAAAGTCACCAATTGCGCCCGTAAGTCATCTAAATCTAGACGCAAGGCGCAATTGTTTTCCGTGAAATTGCTCCCGATGGTAGGCATGCTCATGCAGCACTAGATGGCGCTGTTGCACACATACTGCAATCTAATTGCCCTTTTCGTCGCGCCCGCGCCATGAGTGCTCCGGATTCATTGCATTGACTCTTGAATGATCAAATGGCTTGAAGGATCTTGAAAAAAAAATTGTAAACATGGTGACTGTTGCTTGTAGACATCTGCTGCAAATGATGTTTGAGAGGTTCTTCATAATCATTAAAAAAAAAAAATCATGGATAGACTTTCCTTCTCCACAAACCCAGAACATCCACAGTGACTGACAGATGACAATGCTTTTCAATCATATTCACCCAGCCTTTGGAATCAACTGCCTCGGAACATCTGTATTATAGCACCCACACCTGACACTATTTATGAAGCACTTAAAGATGTATTTTTTTTAACCAATTTCCCCATCTTTATACCATGTAAAGTGCTGAGAAACCAATTGTGTGAGAGCCCTACATACAGAACATATTATTATTACTTACAGAAATAGAGAAACGTAACTAAATTTTTCTTATTCTGTTCGTAATTTGTATGCAGGATCCAAAAGGAACTTGCTGAGATAACCCTTGATCCACCACCTAATTGCAGGTAAGTTAATTTTTTTGTTCAATCTTGGAGAACCTCAACCTAGAGTTAATGCAGAATACTTCTAAAATAAAAAATAAAACAGTTGAATTTTCATAATATGCACATACTGTATTAAAGCTAGATAGTCTTATTAAAAATACCTTGGAGTAAAAATTTAAAAAAAAATTGTATATGTTGCATTAAAAAATATTAAAAAAGAAATATTTCAGCGATAAACCTGCCTTTGATTCACCTCTTGAGGACATGTCAATGTAATTGATTATTGCAGATATATATGTATGTGTATGTAGTAGTTGTGTATTTCCAATGGCTCTTTGCTGCAGAGGATACCTCTCTTGTTTTTGAAAGAAAAGTGTGTTTATTGCACATTCACTGAACATGTACATGTACATACAGGCCCAAATTCACAAAGGAGGTTTGTCGACAAACCGAGGTTTATGTGCGTCAGACAACGCGTTTTGACGCGTTTTTACAAACCTTGGTTTGTAAAAAACAAAAGAAGGTTTGTCGAAACAAAAGGAGGTTTGTTGTTGACAAACCAAGGTTTGTCGACAAACCTCCTTTATGAATTCGGGCCACAGTGTATGTGCTGGTTGCCAACAACAAGAAGGAATGGCAACAGAAGGGGAAAATTGTGACTGCTACTCTACATTTCATTTTTTTTTTGCCTATTATATAGAATTAGTATGTACAGGGTATGTACATGTACATGTATTTTAATAAAAACTGGCACATCATCTAGAGCTAATAGAGGTCTTTAACTGTTTACACGTAGTGGTGACTAGAACAGTGACAAAACCCCTTACTTCCCATTTGTATACATTACATGTACTGTACATGTACATGTACCTCATCGGAATCGGATTGTCAAATAATGTAAAGATAGTAGTACTAGATCATGTACATGTACATGTACTTATTTTGTTCAAGGATAATATTTAGCTTTGATATAGCGCTTAAAGAGATCTGGTAACTTTGTCTCAGATTCTGAAACAAAATCCTGGATTTAGCTCATGCTGCAATGATAATTATAAACCTTTTGGTCATTCAGGAACTCCATGACTTTTACAAGCTGATCGCCTGTCTGATTATCAAGATATTTATGATTGGAATTACAAATTTTTAAAACCGTTTGCCTAACGGTTTTCGTAATACTACATAAATATACTACACATCTGGTTTCATATCGATAACTTTAGTAATGTTTGATGGATTTTTATGAAATTTGATATGAAGGTACATGGTTTCAAAACACAGCCTTTAATTTCCGAGTATGTAAGTCAAAGGTCATAGCTCATCAAATGTGCGAATCTGGTTTCTATTCGATAACTTGAGTAATGTTTGACAAACTTTAATGAAATTTAATATGAAGGTACATGGTATCAAAATATGTGTACAGCCCAAGTTCGATTTCTGAGTATGTAGGTCAAAGGTGAAAGGTCATAGCTCATTAACTATGCAAAAACACCTAATTATATATGTAAAAATGTGGTTAACTTCCTTGCCTAGTAATATAATAGTATAGTCCAATGGAGATGGAGGTAACTTGTTCTGACGTATATAGGCCATTTGTACCCTGCGAGGGGATGCTATGCTTTGCGTTGACTTGTTTGTATGGTATTTGCATGAATTATCATACAACGCATTATCCATTTTCCTACGATGGATGTACGAGTCACGCGACCTCGGTATGAGTTGCGATGACTTGTGTACGACTTGTATCGAGTTATCAAGATCTTCTAACGAGTGCTAAGAGTTTTCAACGATTCATATGCGATCAAGGGGCGGGAAATGCATCATTTTGGCCAGGGGCGGCCAAGCGACTTCCAGACTGTTTTAAGTATAGTCATTCAGGCAGTTTGCTATTTATTTAATCTTGGTATTTCTCTACCATTGTGTGGCAATAATGTATATTTTCTAAAACTTTACCATTAAATTTGCCAATTACCTGTACAGCTTGTACATGTATGAGAGTAACTTGACACTGTATAATAATATGTAAATGATTACAAATTGTTGAGTGCATAACAAGCAAATCGGGAAATGGGCCCTGACATTTCAAATTGGTCTGATCATATCAAATTTAATGTCAAATGAAACTTTAACATCCAAATTTTTCCTAATGTGAAAAAAAACAGAGACATTTTTACACTGCTGAATGTTAAAATTTGCATAATCAATTAACTTCCCAAAATTGAAAGTTGATTGCAATGAAAGCATCATATGCATGTACATGTAGAAGAAATCATATGATGAAATTTATGAATATTGAAAAACGAGAATACCGTACAGAAGTTCCTAAAACAATTATTTTGTTCAATAGTTATACATACAGTACATGTATTGATTGATGATGGGATAGATTTGTTTCATACAGGGATTGTTTGAAAACAATAAACTACATGTATACGGTATGCATAATTTATTGATAGGGATAAAAGTGGTCATACCTCAATAATAAAACTGTTGGGGTTCTGTCAATCAAGCAGAGGGACACTGCCTCCATCCCCTCTTTTGCCACTGACGTAACGTCAAAGAGAGCACTTATTGGCTTGCAGATATTATCGTTGAGGTCTGTGACAATCTGTCTTGAGAAAATTGGTGCCTTGTGGCTGAGCGATTACAACAAGTCAATAAAATTGTTGAGGGAGTTCAGTAGCATACAATTCTTGGGGTCTGACCTACAGTATGTAGATGTACCGGTAGTTCAGTAATGATTTTCAATTTCTTCTGTACATAAACAAGAGGATAGCAATTTTGGAAGGATTTATCATTGAATTCATATTATTTTTTATTAATCCGTGAGGTCTGACTACATTGTGTAGCCCTTTATGCTCAAAGTTTGCACAAACAATATTTCTATTAAAGTGACTCAGTAACATTGTTGAAGGTTGATGAAAAATCTGCACAATTTTTGAATGAAATGTTACTTATCATATTAATTCTACTGTACTAACCCTCTAACATGCAAAAAAATGCTGAACAAATTCTCAAACCACAAAGATATTTGTGGTTTTCTTTGAAGCAACACTGTGCGACACCCTCTAAAAATAAATTCTCCCAATCATTTTTTAATTTTCCCAACCTTTTTTCCATGAAAATATCACTTAGACAGGCTTTTAAAAATCTTTCAACACTTAAATGTCTGCAATTGCATAATACCGGTACACTGTAGAACCAATTTATTGCTTTGTGACGATTCATATTTACCTAAAATGTAATTAAACTGTAATATAGTTGGGAAAATTGAGGAATCAATCAGAACAGTTTTTCCCAATTTTTATTATTAGTAATAGGTTTGTTTTTGTTTGTTTTTGTAGTTGTACTTAGCCTACATGTCCAGATTATCTTTCATTGTACATCTAGCATTGAAGTCATTGCATTAGTACCATTTTCTCTAATCTGAACAATGTTATCAAATCCCTTTAAGTTTGGTAGGGTTTATGCATTTGCTCATGTGCTTGTACACTGTATTATAACCTTTTCAAACTGGCCTGATTTTCATTGGATGCATCCGGCCTATCCGATGAAACTGCCACTATGAATGGTACAGAGGAGAAAATGTTGATAGAATAGCCATTGAAAAGAAGAGAAACAGGCGATTAAATTCTCCTGCTCAAGAGCAGGAGAAATTAAATCTCTGATGTTGAAAATAACAATTGGAAATATTGCCCCTGATCGAAAGTGACCATAATGGTCAATTTTGACCAAAACAATATTTTTGGAAAAGGTGCACAATTTATGAAACCCTGATAAGCTACTCAAGTTCAAGTTCAAGTTCACTTTATTCAATACTTTCATTAAAAATATACAAAGGAAAACAAACATATAAAAAATTTAAATATAATACATGTATCAATATACATGTATAACATGAAAATAACACAAGTGGAGAAGACATGAGGAACAAAGGGAAAACATTCTAAACATGTACATTAATAAAAGTATTTGGAGACTAGACAGGAAGGACAGGCCTTATGCAAAAGTCTGTGTCCAGTAATTGTATAAGAAACTAAAACCTTCCCCACCAAATATTCAGATTAAATCCCCTTGTCTCCCAGGGTACATAACGGTGCCACAGCTGATAGTTTTGTAGATTTTTCCCCATAATGCAGAATATGAAAACGACTAAACCCTGGTGTCGCTAGATGGTGCTATGGATTGTGAATTCACCGTATTGACTTCCTACTCTATGCCTTCCCAACTGTAGCCTTGTGTTTGGGATTAATTGATTGTATTGAGTAATTTGTTCACCAGATCACCAAGATGTGAAAAAGGGATAGTTGAGTTCCTGTTTCAGACCGCAAATGCCTTCATAGTGCATGGTTATTGCTCTTATTCTTATTTATGACATTTCTAGTGTCCTTTTAGGACCTAAACTTGCTATGAAGGTAATTTTAGACCCCCAAAAGTGAAATTTAGCCAATACGATCATACCAATTCAGCTCTACTTAAAAATAATACAGTGACTGTTAATTAATTAATTGATTAGAAGTAACAATACATGGGCCGTCTGGTTGTGCGTTTTATAACCAAAATGAAAAAGCCAACAAAAAGCCAACATCGGCATTGGCTTGAATAAAACGTATAAGGCGCCATTTTGTTTTTTCAACGGCTGGTTCAAATTATCTAATATTTATGGTGGTACACAAATATTATAAATGGTTATATTTATGGATATTTCAGCCGTCTCTGAACCGATTTTGATGTAACAAAGATCATTTGAATTGTATGTTCTTTAAAATTTGACACTCAGTTTTCCATTATCTCACAAAAAAAATAGTTTTGCGTGGCGGCCTCTGCAACAGAACTCGACGATCCCTTTAATATTGAAGAAGAGGTAATGATTGTTTTGAAGTTTAAAAGGTATAGATATTTTTAATTGATATCTTGTTTCCAGCAGATGTTTTGCTTCTCTCTCACTCCACTCTATCAGGAAAAGAAACTTATATATGTAGCAATCATTAATTCATTTATTCAGTATGAAATAGAGCTTTAGA